CTAACACGGTGAAACCCCGTCTCTACTAAAAAGTACAAAAAACTAGCCGGGCAAGGTGGCGGGCGCCTGTAGTCCCAGCTACTCGGGAGGCTGAGGCAGGAGAATGGTCTAAACCCGGGAGGCGGAGCTTGCAGTGAGCTGAGATTCGGCCACTGCACCCCAGCCTGGGCGACAGAGCAAGACTCTGTCTTAAAAAAAAAAAAAAAATTAACTGGGCGAGGTGGTGGGCGCCTGTAGTCCCTGCTACTCAGGAGGCTGAAGCAGGAGAATGGCATGAACCCGGGAGACGGAGCTTGCAGTGAGCCGAGATTGCGCCACTGCACTCCAGCCTGGGAGACACAGTAAGACTCCGTCTTAAAAAAAAAAAAAAAGAAAAGAAAAGAAAAGAAAAGAAAACATGATGTTAAGTAAAATTAGCCAGACACAAAAAGACAAACAATATATGATTGCACTTATCCAAGGTACAGAGAATAAGCAAATTTATGGAGACAGAAGTAGAATGGGGATTACCAGGGACTGAGGGGCTGGGGAGCGGGGAGTTATTTAATGACTAAAGCATTTCTGTTTCGGAGATGAAAACGTCTGGAAATGGACAGTGATGGTTGCACAACATTGTGAATGTACTTAATGCCACGGAATTGTACACTTAAAAATGGTGAAAATGGTAAATGCTGTGTTATGTATATTTTATCACAATTTTAAAAGTATGTTTACTGTAAAAACAAAAAATTGCACAAGAGGCCTGGTGCAGTGGCACATGCCTGTAATCCCAGCACTTTGGGAAGCCTGAGGAGGAAGGATCACTTGAGCTCAGGAGTTTGAGACCAGCCTGGGCAACATGGTGAAACTCCATCTCTACCAAAAAAATAATAATAATAATACAAAAATTAACAGAAGGTAGTGGTACATGCCTGTAGTCCCAGCTACTTGGGAGGCTGCGGTGGGAGGATCATTTGAGCCCAGGAGGTCGAGGCTGCAGTGAGCCGTGATGGCACCACTGCACTCCAGCTTGGGAGATAGAGTGAGACCCTGTCTCAAAAAAATAAAAATAGGCCGGGCGGGGTGATTCATGCCTGTAATCCCAGCACTTTCGGAGGCTGAGGCAGGTGGATCATGAGGTCAGGAGTTCAAGACCAACCTGGCCAACATGGTGAAACCCTGTCTCTACTAAAAATACAAAAATTAGCTGGGCATGATAGCAGGTGCCTGTAATCCAGCTACTCAGGAGGCTAAGGCAGGAGAATCGCTTGAACCCAGGTGTCAGAGATTGTAGTGAGCCAAGCTGGTGCCATTGCACTCCAGCCTGGGTGACAGAGTGAGGCTCCATATCAAAAAAATAAAATAAAATAAATATCCATAAATCCATACTGATATAAATAAATGATTGAATACATAAATAAGTGAGGGAGAACAGGCAACCTCTCATCCAGAATTCCAAATCATCTCTATAGAGAGTCCACCCTCAGGAGGTGGAACATAGGAACTCCCTCCTCCTTGGCTGTGGATGGCAGACCGGGACTTCCTTCCAAGGAGTACCCTACAGAAAGCAGGGGGAAAAAGAGTCGCCTTACAGTGGAGACCCCTGACGAACACTCCCTCAGCCAGGTGGTCAGGGTGAGCCTCAACAGTGATCATACGTCATATTGTCTGTATGCACCCTGAGATGATGGGATGAAAACGGCACTTGACCTCTGGGGTCTCCCTCCCTGAAACCCACAACCCAGTCTAATCGTGAGAAAAACGTCAGACAAATCCTAACTGAGGGACATCTATAAATGTTTTATTTCATTCTGTAAATGTTTCCAACACACCTCAAAACTGTCAAGGTCATCAAAAACAAAGTCTGAGAAACTGTCACAGCCCAGAGGAACCCAAGGAGATGCTGGGAACTTGGATGGGATCCCAGAACAGAAAAAGGACATTAGGTAAAAACTGGAGAAATATTTGGCTGGGCACAGTGGCTCACGCCTGTAATCCCAGCACTTTGGGAGGCTGAGGCAGGTGGATCACTTGAGGTCAGTAGTTCAAGACCAGCCTGACCAAAACCGTATCTTTACTAAAAATACAAGAAAAAAATTGGCCGGCGCAGTGGCTCACACCTGTAATCCTAGCACTTTGGGAGGTTGAGGCGGGCAGATCATGAGGTCAGGAGTTTGAGACCAGCCTGACCAACATGCTGAAACCCCGTCTCTACTAAAAATAAAAAATAAAAAAAAATTAGCCGGGCACGGTGGCACGCGCCTGTAATCCCAGCTACTCAGGAGGCTGAGGCAGGAGAATCGCTTGAACCCAGGAGGCAGAGGTTGCAGTGAGCTGAGATGGAGCCACTGCACTCCAGCCTGGGCAACAGAGGGAAACTCCATCACCAAAAAAAAAAAAAAATTAGCAGGGCATGGTGGCATACCCCTGTAATCCCAGCTACTTGGGAGGCTGAGGCAGAAGAATCGCTTGAACCCAGGAGGCAGAGGTTGCAGTGAGCCAAGATTGTGCCACTGGGGTCCAGGCTGGGCAAGAAGAGCAAAAGTCTGTCAAAAAAAAAAAAAAAGGAGAAATCTGAATCAACTGTGGACTTCAGTTAACAAAGATGTATCAGTATTGGTTCATTACTGATGCTACACGTCCCATGCTGATGTGAGAATTTTTTTTTTTTTTTTTGAGATGGAGTCTCCCTCTGTTGCCCATGCTGGAGTGCAGTGGTGCGATCTTGGCTCACTGCAACCCCTGCCTCCCGGGTTCAAGTGATTCTCCAGCCTCAGCCTCCCAAGTAGCTGGGATTATAGGTGCACACCACCATGCCCAGCTAATTTTTGTATTTTTAGTACAGATGAGGTTTCACCACCATGTTGGTCTTGAATGCCTGACCTCAGGTGATCTGCCCACCTTGGCCTCTCAAAGTGCTGAGATTACAGGCGTGAGCCACCCCTCCCCAACTGACGGGAGATTATTATTAGTGCCTGGTAATCATTGCACTCTCCCAGGGCAGGAGCTCCTTTGCCAGAGAAGTCCCTGGTCACCTGAAGGCGGGTACAGGGAGAAAAAGAGCCACTTCCCAGCCCTCAGCCCCTCTAGACATGGCAAGGCCCTGGGGACAGAGGCCAGCTTGGGTGTTGGAAGAGCTGGGCGTGAAGCTTGTCTCTGCACAGATTTACTCCATGGCCAGGTCCAAATTCCTTTCCCTCCAGAAGCCAGGGACAACAATAGTCCCGGTGTGAGGGCCTCGCTCAGCATTCAAGGACCCTCTCAGGGCGCAGGCGCCTGCTCTGACAGCCCAGCTGTTGCTTCTGGTTGGAACTGCCAGCCTTGAAGCCCCAGAGGCTGTTCCCTGTAGGACGGAGTGAGTCATCCTGGGATCATTTGCCTGCCAGGAGTGGGTGAGGGAGGAGCAGCTGCCGCCTTCACAGACACCTGGTAGTGTCAGAAGAGGGCATGCACTGCCCTGGTGAGGCTCCTCTGGCTGCCCCCAGGCCCACACCCAAGGATCCCTGCCTCAGAGTAAGTGAGTGCTCTAGCCAGGGTCCCCTCTCACTCTGCTAAGGGCTGGGTTAGTGATGCCCTACATAAGCAGCCGCTTGGGCGGTCGGAGGCAGGACAAGATGCGTTGGAGGGTCCAGGTCCATCTGTGCCCCTCCCTTGGGCTCTCCTTTCCCTGTACCCAGGCAGGTGGAAGGGATCTTTCTCCCATTCTGGCTGGGGCACCTAGAGATGGGGGAGATGGGAAAGGAGACAGAAACAGTGGGCCCCAGGTAGGAGCGAGGGAGGGAGGCGAGGTCTAGGCAAGGAGCGAGGAAGAGGGCCAGGGTGGTGGTGGGTGGGGGCATCAGAGACAGCGGGGCACGTGGCCAGGAGCCCGGGCGCCAGGCTGAGCTGCTGCTCCCAGCTCAGGAGCCCCTGTGCCAGCTGGATGCGGGCGGGTGGGCACGGGCAGGGCCACGTGCCAGACATGCACAGAGCGCCCTTTGAGGAGGTGGCAGCTGTGGGTCCAGGCCCCCCTCCTCTTGCTGTGGCCCTGCTTGGCCCCTCCAACAATGCCTTGCTGAGCACTGGGCTGTGGATGCTGATGTGCACAGTTGGGAACCCCACTCAAGAGGTGAAGGGGCAACCATACTAAACCGGAGCAGGGAGGTACACCCCATCATTGCCAGAACAGGGACTTGGGTCTCTTGTGGGAGGCCTGGATTTCCCTCTTTCTCGCATAACTCATACCCCCTCACTGCTGCTGGCCTCTTGGGATCCTCCCCTGGACACTCCTGGAGAAAAGATCAAGGCTGCTTGCCCCTTGGGGAAAAAGGCCGAAAACCCAGTCGGTGACCTGCTACTGGGGGCTTTTGGGAGCTGGGGGAAGTCAGCCTCCTGCCTGGCTCTGCTTCCTCCATCCAGCCACCATGGCCTCCTGGCACAGCATCCCTGGCAGACAGAAGGGCCCGCCCCCCACATGGGCACCCACACAGAGATTCCCTAGGCAGCTGGAGCTCTCTGTCTGCCCCCAGCCTCATGGAGCTGGCTCTGTCTTTCCTCCCTGTGGTGGGTAGCGCTGACCTCTGGGCACTGCCCTGGACCCCAGCCCCACTTGCTCTAGATGCTCACCCACCGTCCCCAGGCAGCAGAACAGAGGGGTCAGACCCCTGCTCCTTCCTTTGGATGGGTGAGGGATCTCAGTGCCTAGGCCTATGAAACGTAGGCAACAGCAAGGCCCATGGGCAAGAGCAAGGCCTGCCTGGCAGGGGTAGAGGGATGGGGACGAACATGCATGTGCCCAGTGGCTGTGGATGCCATGTGTGGGCACCATGGTAGATGCGGAACAGCTGAAATTGGGGGTGTCTGGCCTGGGGAAAGGAAGTCTCAGGCCCACGAAGGCTTGTCTTCCAGCCTCTGGGAGGACGATGGGCTGAGGGTGGGCCCAGGAGTGGGGGTTACAGGGACACAGGATCCTCCCTAGAAGCCAGGCCAGATGACTTCAGGATGAGCCAGACTGTTTCCGGGGAGTGGGAGCTCCTCTTCCCTGGGGGTCTCGGGGCTCGCTCTCAGCTGGGGGAGGGCAGAGGGGCTCCCGGAGGCCTGCTCTGCTGCCCCGCGATCGCCTTCCGCCGGCCGACCCCTCCCCCGTCTGCGCCCGGACCCAGGGCCTAGGAGGCCGGCCAGGGCCACAGGGCAGGCGCCCAGCCCCCGGGGACGTGCAGTGTTGGGGGAGGGGACTGGTTAGGCGACCCGGAGCTGGTGCGACCGGAGGTGGCCTGCAAGGGATGGGCTAGGAGCGGAGGAGACCGCGCCTCTCCGCCGAGTTGGGCCGACAGAAAAAGGCCAAGGTCTGGGGTCCTCGCCTTTAACGTGGCCTCGGCTGCGGAGACGGGGGGAGGGGCGGCGCGGGCGGCGCATGCGCGGCGCGGCTGGAGCCGCCGGACTGTCCGGCGTCCGGGAAAGCTAGGGAGCCCAAGAAGCCGGAGAGCGCCCGGACCCCTCGCGGGGGCTCTGAGCGGCGCGGGCGGACCCGAGCCCCCAGCCCGCGGGTGCCGCTGCCCGCCAGGCCCCGGGGGCGACGGCCAAGATGTCCGTGCCGGTGAGTACCGCGCCGCTCCGGACCCCGGGCCGGCTGCCCCCCGCCCGCCTGCGACCTCGCGCCGCCCGCGCCTGATGCCTCGCGACCTCGCGCCCCTGGGCCTGATGCCGCGGGGGCTCCCGGACTGGGGGTCGCCTGACCGGGGTCTGCTCGGCCCCGGGGGAGAGCGCACAGTCTCGGGGAGGCTCCCACAAGCCGGCCTGTATGCCCCAGCCTTTGCATCCTCTTTGAGGAGAGCCAGGTCGGGCTGGGGTCCGTGTTGTCCCCTCGGGGAGCCCCCCAAGATGGCTGGGTCGGGAAGGCTCTTTGTTGGTCCGGGAAACCCCTGGGACAGCTGGGCCAGGCGGGAGTCTGCCGCCCGCCGGGACCCCGCAACAGGACAGTTAGGCCTAGCGGGGAGGGGTCTCTGCCACTCCCGGGACTCCCCTCCGGGACTGCTGGGCTGGATGAAGGGTGGGAGGCCTGTGCTGCCCCTCCAAGACCTCCCTCGGATTGCTGCCCTGCGGCGCTTCCGGGACTCCCCTGGGGTGGCCAGGTTGGGGCGCGATCTCTGCCAGTCACCGGAGCCACCCCTCCCCCAGGACGGCTTGTCTGGATGGGAGCCGTGCCTGCCCTCCACAACTGATGCGCTCACTTTCCTGGGAAGTTTTCCTCCCGCCGCGGAACCCCCGGGGCCCTGACTGGCCGCTTCCTCCCCGTTGGCCGTTGGCCGTGGGCGTTTTCTATCCGACACCCCCTCTTCCTGGCCGGGCAGCCTGGGTTTGGCAGACCCCCGGGCCATGGTTCCACACTTGGGCACTGGCATCTCTGAGCATCTCAGTCTCATATTCTGAGGACAGCAAGTGATCCTGGCTACCCTGGGTGACTAGGCCTCACATTACAGATGGACAGACTGAGGTGGGAGGCGGACACCTTGGCGAACTGCCAGGAAGGGACACCATCCGCACCTGGTGAGCTGTGGCCTCCAACCATCGTTTCCCTGCCTAGTTAGGGGCTTTACCCTCCAGAGCCCTGTCCACTCTGGCCTTGTTTCTGGAACTGCTCCTCACCGGGAGGACCCAATCCTTTCCATGAAGCAGGCAGTGGGGGCTTCCTGGCAAGTGGCCTCTTCATTAACTACTCCAGAGTGTGTGCAGATGACTGGAGGGGAGGCTGGCCAAGTGCAAAGCATTGTTACTGCGCAATGAAAGAGCCCGCTCCCGCCCACCTCCAGAAGTGGTAATGCAGTTACAGATGAAAAAATGAGGGCTTCCAGACTGTGCTGAAGTAAGCCCTGCCATCCGTCCTGGTTCAGAGCATAATCGCCTCGTCTTCAGAAAGAAAGAAAACAGAGCATGCCTACCAAGCCCTTCCTCTCTTCTGCTCTGCTCTCCTGGAAAGTTCTGGACTTCTCTGGCCCAGGGCCTCAGGAGACTGGCCAGCCCCGCTCCTGTGGGCACGAGACAGAGGGACAAGGTGAACCACCTGAGCCTGCTGGAGGGACAGTGTCCCAGGGCAGTAGTGATTAGGGAATGTCAGTCTGGCCACATCCGAGCCTGCGTGGGCCTCTATGGGGAGGTCTCCATTTGCTTTGGTCTGGTTGTCCACAGTCAGAACCAAGCTCTGGACAGAGTCTGGGATGGCGCCCTGACCCCTTGCCTTACAGGACTTTGGGCAGCCTTCTTTGGCGCTGTGCCTCATCTGTAACAAGAGAGGGACGGCAGGCTGGGTAGGACTTGGACAGATAGGCACCGTTGTGGGGACCTGCAACCTGGCCAGACCATCACGGGCTCCAAGTCACCTCCTACCCTCTCCCTTGTAGTCACAGCCCAGCAGAATTCTGCTAGGGGTGGGCAGGGGTCTTCGCCATCTGTCCGTTACGTGCCTGGCTGGCAGATCAGCATGGCTCTCTCTCCTGGGACCTTGGGCAGTGTGTGAGGTGGTGGGGCCAAGAGGAGAATTCATTTTTGGAACAGTCTTGAAGTGTTCGGAAAATTGCTTTCATGTGCTGAGGAGGCCCTGTGGAGGCTTCCAGACCAAGCTGCCTGCTCAAGCCCTGCCCTTGGAACCCAGAGTGGCGACTGCTCAGGGACACGTCTGGGTTTTAAGCACACCCATTCATTTGGACAGTCTTTTCCTAGATGGGCTGACGCAGGCACTTTGGCCCACAGAAATAAGATACTTCAGAAGGGGGTGGAAGGTTAAGCAGGGTGAGAGGTTGGTGGGCTGATTGTGCGGGGAGCAACCCCATGAGTGTTGGGGCAGGGGGCACGTCGGGGGTCAGCTGGTGTCACCTTGTCATTTGACTCACATGGAGTCCCGGACCCAGAGAGGGGAAAGTGCCAGGGCGTCCCAGCTGCCTGCTCAGTGCCCCTTCCTCTGCTCCAGGCATAGAGCAGTGCAGTGCTCAGGCGGTGCCTGGATACCCCATGCGTATTCCCATGCCTTCTTCTTGGGCATGGCTACCCAGCGCCCTGGGCCTGTCTCTTCCTGCAGCTGAGAGGACACATTTGGAAGGAAATGTGCCACCCACCTCAGACCTCTGGCTGGCATTGGCTTGGGAGTCCATGTTTAGGGGTGGCAGGTGCTGGCCACACCCGGCCCCGCCAGGTGAGAGGCCAGCTTCCAGTTGCAGAGTGGCCTCCTTGCCATCTGTTCTGCCTCTTGCTTCCCATCTGTGAAGTGAGTGCAGCCACTCCAGCTCCTCCTGTGCTCCTTCATTGAGGGATGGCTCCTTTCAGGGATGCTGCCTTGTGTGCTGGGCACTGGGCTCAGGGTCTCACAGGCCCACAGAGGGCCTGTGTCATGTCTTGCCAGGGTCACATGGCCAGTGAGAGGTGGAGCCAGGGTGGGAGCCGAGTGTGGCAGGATCCACAACCATAAAATGACCATCATCCTGCATGGCCTCTACCTGTGGGGGCCGCAGCCTGTTGAGCTGTGGACGGCAGCCAACCCTCTACCTATGGCTTCCCAAACATGAGTTTGCGTCACCCCTTCTGTGTCCCTGGGAGGCAAGGCACCTTGGGCTCAGAGCAGGTAGCACCCAGGGTTGTATAGCACGGTGGGTCTAGTCCCAGCCAGCCCCAGCAGTGGTAGATGGAGATGAGTGGACCAGCCTGCATCTGGTTGAAACCTTGGCCAGCAATCCTGGGACTGGCTCTGTGCCAGGCAGTGGTGTGAGAGGGAGAGCCGCCCAAGGAGCCATGAGGGGCTGGCCTGGGCAGCCAGGCAGCGGACAGAGAGAGTGGGAAGAGGCAGTGTCCATGTTCAAAGTCCGCAGCTCAGGCGCCACTGCCCCTGCAGCACCCTCTCCGGCCACTGGGCCTTGGCTCAGCCTGTCCCTCCCTCTATAGGAAGTGATCCCCAGCCAGCTGCCTTCTTCACCAGGTCATTCCCGTTCACCTCGAGTTCTGCGAGCCTGGGGTCTCAGCCACTCTCCTCAGAGCCTTGCTTAGGGCTGAAAGGGGTTCCTGGGGAGGCTGCTTCGGGGTGGGGAGAGTGTTTTGGTGGGTCAAGGGCGAGGGCTCTAGAGTGAGCAGTGTTGGCTCTGTGCCTTGAGTGAGTTACTGAACCTCCTGAGCCTCAGTTTCCTCCTCTATGTCATGGGGATGTTAACAGCACAGAGCTCCTGGGGTTTTGTGAGGACTTGGTGAGGGGCGCCCAGAGCTGTTAGAAGGAGGGTAATTAAGTAACAGCAGCTACTGCTATGGAGATTATTGTCTTTATGTGGCCGTGGTTGGCTAGTGCAGTGGCCCAGACCCCATTTCTGACTCCCAGGCAGCCAGCATAGGGAGGAGGCTGGGCTGGGCCCAGACCGATTGGCCTCTGCCCCCAGGGTTCCGTGGCCCTTTCTTTATGGTCAGTGTGGTTTCCGCCAAGGCCTTGGTGGTGGGATGACCCTGGCCTCTCCCCTGCCCGGGCGTGGCCTGCAGGACCCTAGCCTCTTGAGCCTTGGATGGGCAGGTCCTTGTCTTCATCCCATCCAGAGAGAGTGACCTGCACTGAGGCCACCAGCTGGCCCATCGCATCTAGGCAGCTGCTGCCCTGCTCCAAGTGCCCCCGGGAATGAGGCGGCATTGCAGACCGTGGGAGCCACCGCAGTGGTGCAGGCCTCTGCTCAGGTGTAGTCTGCAGCAGCTGGGCCAGCACAGGGCAGCCAGGGCCTGGAGGGAGGCTGGTTCCACCCCTGCCTGAGGATCATGGCTCCTACAGCCGGGAGGGTGAGTGGGGGCCTGGGTAATACCTGCAGACCTCCCCATTTCCTACCACTGGTGCCCTGGTGTCCTTGGGCCCATACCACCTTCCCTCTGTGTGCTTACCTTCACCCCGGCCTTGGACTTGGCTTCACTGCAGCCCTGCGTGTGTCCTCCCGGTCAAGCCCCATGGTTTCTGTGGCTCACTCTCAGTCCTCGTGTGCTGAGCCGTTGTCTCCCTCTCTTCAGGAAAAAGGAAAAGAGTTCTGGGGGACAGGTTGGGGACCTCAGTAGAGGAGTGGAAGGTATGCTTGCTTTGTTGAGATGGTCACAAGTTGCGGCTCTGAAGTTAATCTCTTCTCCAACGGGGATTAGAGGCTGGGAAGGTTTTTCAGTCATTTTAATTTATTGTTTAAGCCCTGCCAAATTCCAAGAAGAATTTGAAGCAGATTATAGCAGAAGACACAAATAGTCTGGGATCATGAAAAGATCTGGAATTATGTAATGTATTGTGAAGGAGGAAGAATTATCCCAGAAAGCCTGGGCTCAGTAGGCCTCCAAATTTAACTTGAAGCTCCCTGATGGTCAGGGCAAAAAGAGTAGCATGGTGGGTTTGGGCTTGCAGTATCTGTTTTTGGTATTTGTAATACCATGTATTTTTTCTTTGCTTTGTTTTATTTTTTACCAGTCGAAACTCTTACTGAGGTAAATTTTACATGTTGTGAAATGTGCAGATGTTAAACATACAGTTAGTTGGATGAGTTTTGATTAATATAGACCTTCATGTAGCCATCAATCAAATCAAAATAACAAATGTCTCCATCACCT